CGCCCACGTTTTATTGGATAGACAATATTTTTATGCCATAATTTTGATTTACCAATTAACCGCGACCGCGGCGGTGAGCCCCCCTTTTGGGTGCAGCCGGGTGCCCCCCGCCCCCCAAATGGAAATCCTACTTTTAAAAACTCACGGTGTAGGTATTGAGTGTCTTATTTCGTATGGAATATCTTTCATAGCAACTTCAACGCAATCTTCTAGATTCCTGAGATTCATTTCCAAGTATTCCAATTGGTTCGTGTGTTTCATATTATCCAATATATACTGAATTTCATCTTGTCGTTGATCTTCTCCAAAAATTCGTAAAATCGTAACTTCGTCAAAAGTTGAACGCAACGAATCGACGATTTCTCTGCATTGTCCTTCGAAACTGTTCATGAACAAATCTACACTAATTATGGCAAAACCCATCAAGCTTCTGGCGAAAAGATAGAGAATCAAAAAAACAATTCTTTCATGTAGATCAAAAATTATCTTGCAGTTCGGAAACGTTCTGTGGGAGAACGTGTCATGTTCAATATTTTTTGGGAAATTTTAAGTGGCATACGGTATACCGCATACCCCATGCTTTTCCCTGGGAAGTTTAGTTCAGGTGGTAGCTGCAACTCTGGAATGCTCATTGTACATCTCTGCAAGTGGACGTCCCGTTTCTCCCACATTCGTTTCTCCTCAATCACAATCGATTTGATAAACTGCACAATTCCTTTCACAACGAACTTCATCAATCTCTGGGCATACCCGACATTGTCTTCTTGTACACCGAACATCATAAAGCCGGTTTTTGACCTGAATGTCACGAAGTGATTTGCCTTTCAGCTCTACCATTCTAGCCTCCAGACCAACCGGATTGAGAGACGAACGCATCAGGTTGGTAGCACTGTCGGAAACAAATGGGATTGGCAAGATTGGGATGCTACTTCTATCCTTCGCATGGTATTGTCGATATGTTGTCCTGATTTCGCTTCTGTTTTTAGTACCCATTTGGTGGATAGCCATAGGAAATTTATACAAAATTTGCCAATATCTTATCAATTTTCAATTGTTTTTAACATTTTCTGAGTTCTCGAGTCTTGAAAAATAAAAACAGTATTTTCTGAAAATTCCGTTTTTGGCTGAGAATTTCAAAAAGTTCCTCAAACATTGAGATATTTGAAAATTTAGTCTTTCAATAAATTTTGAATTTCTTATAATTCAAAGGGTCTAATTTTGATAAATTTCATTTTCACAAATTCAAAAAAATCGATATTCCCCTATAAATATCTGAAAAAATCTGGAAAATTGTCACAAGTTTTGACTTTAAGCATCTCGGTCTCTGCTATATATCGCGGTTTCTGCAAAAGATATCAAAAAGTTGTCAACTGATGAAATGTTTATCATGATATCAGCACTGTTTTATTAGTCAACCACTTTTTGATATTTCTCACAGAAAATGAGATACATGGGATCGAATTTGACGATTCGGGTGACGTTCTATTAGAGTGTTTACGGTATCTGTGTTTTCGAATTTTTGGGAAATGTAGATTTTCAAAGGATTTCTAAATTTCCTAAAAGAATTTTATCGAATATATCAAAAAGTTCAGATATTTTGGGAAATATTGAATTTTTGAAATATTTCTGAAGAAAATTCAGATTTTGCAGATTTTCGGAATTTTCAAAATATGATTTTTCCAGAATTTTCGGAAAATATTGGATTTCTTCGTATTTGGAATTTGTTGAATTCTTAGAAATATTCTAAATCTAAACTTTCTGAGATTTCAGAAATTTCAGATTTTGTGATTTTTTTTCTGGAATTTCCGAAATTTTAATTTTTTTTTAAATTTTCTGAGTTTCTGAAATTCTTTGTTGTTTTTTTGGAAATTTGATTTTTTGAATTCTTATTATTGTTGTCTGAAAAACAGAAGGTTAGAGAGTATTTTTTGCATTCTGAATACGGTAGGAATCTCGAAGCGGCGAGCCTAAATAGCACATGTTAGGTGGAGACGCAGACATTTTTTCTCTGCGTCTCAACCTTTTTTTTCTCAGACATACATTCTCAGAAAAAATCAAATTTTCTGAGACTTCTGAAATTCCAGATATCATTTTTCTGGGATTTTCAAAGTTTCCAAATTTTCGAAATTCTTGGATGTTCTGAAACTTCTAAATTTCATGGAATTGTGAATTTTTGAATTCTGATGAAAACTCCAATTTGCTAGAAGTCCTGGAATTTTGTAAACTTCGAATTTCTGGAGTTCGGAGTTTTAAACGTTGATATTTGTGTTTTCTGGAAATTCACAATTCTCTGAGGCTTTCAAGTTTCTAAATTTTATGGAATTTTGAATAGAAGGATAAAAAATTTTCTGAAACTTCTGAAATTCCAGCTATTATTTTTCTAGGACTTTCAGAGTTTTCATTCTGAAAATCTTCAATTTTTCGAGATTTCTGAAATTTCTGAGATTTTGAAATTTCTTGGAATTCCTGAAATTTTGGTTTTTTTGTTTTGTTCTGGAATTTTCAAAAATAAAAAAAAATCTAATAAAAATTTTATTCACAAGAAAAAAATACACAAAAAAATTACAAAGGAGAGGAAGAAAAAATGGAGGATTACTGTAATTCTAAACATTTCAATTTTGAGGTAAAAAGTGAGGGAATTTGAATTTTCTCAAAGACAAGAAAAAGAAAAAGTAGACTAGATTTTCAGAAAAAAACTTAGTTAAGCGAGATCGATTAGAAGAAGAAGAGCAAGAAATGTCCCGTAGAATGCAAGAAATTTTTTTCAAAAAAAAAAATCAATAATTGAGTTCATCGGTACAGGGGAAATGTTGTTCGAGTAGCGGAGAGATTATTCGATGAGCCAGCACCGAATGCACTATAATTCACAGCTGCCGGATTGAAAATTGTGCTGCTATTCTGAAAATTTCTTTTTTTGAGAATTTTAAAAATGCAAATTCGCTCTACTGAACACTTACATTAAAGCCGGCGGCAATATTCAAACTTCTGTAGTTGGCACTGGTCCATGACGAAAAATCGGGAGCGATTCGACCCATCGCATGGGAGTTGAAATAGTCCTGTGGATGGGTGGCAGTTGGTGGTTGGAGTGCTTGAGCGATTCCTGGAAGAACCTTTTTTTTTGGAATTTTGAACTTTTTTAAATTTCGGAAATAAATTTTTTGGAAAGTTTAAGACAGTTTAATTCAAAATATTATTCAGATGATCGTCAGAAGTTTCAGAGTGTTCTAGAATTGCCAAAGACCTAACAGCTCTGGAAAAAGCTCAGAATCTCAGAATCTAAGAATCTCAAAAGCTCAGATTCTCAGAAAAGTAAGAATCTCAGAAAATTCAGAATATCAAAAAATTCAGAATCTCAGAACCTCAGAATCTCAGAATCTCAAAAGCATCTCAGAAAATGTCTCAGAAAATGTCTCAGAATCTCAGAAAATTCAGAATCTCAGAATCTCAGAATCTCAGAATCTCAGAATCTCAGAATCTCAAAAAATTCAGAATCTCAGAATCTCAGAATCTCAGAATCTCAGAAAATTCAGAATCTCAGAATCTCAGAATCTCAGAATCTCAGAATCTCAGAATCTCAAAATCTCAAAATCTTAGAAAATTCAGGCTCTTAGAAAATTCAGAATCTCGGAATGCCTCACCTTGAAAATCAAACTTATAAGCATATCGTTTTCCATGAACCTTCGCCATGATATTCTTATCATAATAGTAGCGAAGTGCTCTCGACATTTTATCATAATTCATGTTGGGCTTCGATTTCCGCTCTCCCCATTTCCTGGCCACCTCATCTGGATCCACCAATTTGAATTCTCCATTTACTCCCTCCCAAGTGATCACTTCTGAATACCGTTTGTCGGAGAGAAGTTCCAGAAGAAACTGCCAAAGTTGCGTTTGCCCACTTCCAGAATGTGCCAGATTCTTGCTGGTTTGCCCGAGCACTTGGTAGGGATCTGAAATTTTGCATAAGAAATCCAAAAAATTATATTTCTAGCCCCCGAACTTTCATCAAAAATCGAAAATGCTTTGATTGGGACCACCCGTCTCCCTCATTCCAAGTCAATCAGATTAACGGAATGCGCGAACACACATTCAGTGATGCAAGAGGAGAAGAGAGAACTCAATTATGATTTTTGAAGGACAAGAGACAGACAGAGACACATGTCACACAGGTGGCTGATTTGTGCATGGAATTGTGTTAAACTGTATGTGTGTGTGTGTATTGACAAATTGTGTTCATGGACTAATTGGTGTGGAAAATTAGGAGAAGAAGCTGAATAAGATGAATAGGGAGAGCAAAAATAAGAATAGCTGGCAATAAGCAGGTGGTTAAGAGAGCCAGGTGCGATAAGAAAGTATTTTTCTTTGTTTTGAGCAAACTATGGACAAATCTAACAAGACTAATATCCCAAATTTTGGAATACAATGCCATGGAACTTTCCCCGGTCAAGTGGTTTTAAAGGCGATTTTTCTAGGCTTTTTTCTAGGAACTTTGAGAAGCCATATTTTAGGGCAATTTTCGGTCTAGCTAGAAAATTTTGAGTTTTTTAGGCCACACTGGGGACCTAGGATTCCCTAAGACTTGATTTTCCAGTCGCGCTTTGAAAACACTGGAAAAATGGCCTAGAATTCCATAACCCAGGTTTATAGGCTAGGCTACTAGCGCTTAGAAATTCCACCGCGGTTTGAAGTTATAATTCTTTGATGACCTAGAAACTCAACATTTCGATTTCTAGGCCACCAAAACTTCATGAGTGTTTTTAGGCTGAGCTCCATATCCATAGTTTTGCCATTGAGAACTTTTAACATTGAGGTATGATCAATTAAAGAACAATTATTCCATTCAACTTTGATGACCTAGAAACCCAAATTTTGTGGGTTTCTAGGTCAACAAATTATATGTTTCATCAAAGCGCAGAAATCGAGCTATAAATTTATAGTTGTTTATCTAGAACCATCAACTTTGCAGCGAGTTATAGTCGATATAAGTTGGTAGCCTAGAAATCCAAAAAATGAATTTCTAGGCCACCAAACTCAAAATAGTTATAACTCGCTTCAAAATGGAAAGTTTTTGATGAAAAAAACATGAATTCAAAGCTTGTTTCCTGCTCTTCAAAATAGTATACATTGCTGTTGACCTAAAAACCAAAATTTCAAATTTCTAGGCCACCAAAGATGAAACAAAAAAATTTTCTTAAAAATATTACATTTCGCTTCAAAGAAAATTTGTATGAATGAAAAACTATGAATATAAATATAGTTTTTAGCTTATTTACCTATACAAAGTTCTGATAGAAAATTTTGAATTTTCTCAAATTTTGAATTTCTAGGCCAACTAAACCTCTGGTCCCTCTATCTTCCCAATCAAGACATCCCATTATTTATTGTTCAAATCAGTTTCAATTGTTCTGGCCATCTTGTGTCACTTTTATGTGGTGCATCGCGCCACCTGACAGGAAGCTTGTCTGTCCGGAAAACATGAGCATCTTGTTTTAATTGGCTCATCTCTTTAGTCCCCCCCAACACATAACCAAAAAGAGACGGGTGACACATCTTGACCCTCCCTCTTTTGTTAACTAACTAACGAACTAAAAGCAATTGTGTCTCCCTTCTTCTTCATGAAGAATCACGCATCTCATTGATTATTTACAAGGAAGCGTCGCGCCGACGACGTCTTCTGAAGATTCTGAAGACGTCGGAAGAAGAAGAAGAAGAGGGCAATTAAAGTGTGTGTGTTTGGTTTGATAATGTAATGAGGTTGCCGCACGGAAGCTCGAAATGTCTTTCTGGCCTAACTTTTAATCATGGCCTAGGTCCCCTAACTTTCCTATGATCCTCTTTAAAACCACTTGATTTACGCCCCTATAAAGATCTAGTTCCTCCAGAACAAACAAAATGTAAAAAATCGCAAAAAGGGACATGATGACATATGGAGTGTAAGAGTAGGATGATTCTGAAATCCGATCTTTACCAGTAGAAGAAGACATCGAGATTCTAAGAAGATGTGTTTGTGTGTGCCGAAAAGGAATCCTATTGTTTGCCTTCAAAGGAGGATTATTCGTTGTATCGTCTTCTATGGGTAGGTTTCAGACTCATAACTCGGCTCAAAATTGGAACATCCGAGTAAGCTAAAATGGATGTTGTAAGGCTTAATAAGTTTTACAATAATCATTTCAGAATTTTTAAAAATTCTAAGATTAAACTGAGTTACAAGCCGCTCAAATAGTCAGCTGGGTAAGCTCATGGGAGAACAGGGGGCGACCCATTTTTGGCTCATAACTCGGCGCAGGTTTGGAATTTTTGAATAAGCTAAAATGGATGTTGTAGGGCTCAATGAGCGCTAAAATAACCTTTTTGAAATTTCTCCGAAATCGTGAAATTGAGCTGAGCTACGAGCCGCTCAAATAGTCAGCTGGGTAAGCCCATGGGAGATCCCGGGGCGATCCATTTCGGCTCATAACCCGGCTGAAAACTGGATTTTTTGAACGAAACAAAGAGTAAAATGTAGAACGGGAGAAGATCTACAAAATCGTATAAAAATCGATTATGTTCAAATTCTGAGCTCCGAACCAGAAGCTGTGAAGCAAGCGGAATCGGAAAAGTTGGCACTTGTCACACCTTGTCGTCTTTAGTTTGAGAATCGACGATTCAAAGTAGACGAATTGTATATCGTTCTGTAGATCTTGACAAGTTCTATTCATTACTTTTTGATTCGTCCAGAAATTCAAAATTTGAGCTGAGTTACGCGCAAGCAAGTAGTCGGACCATGTCAGCCAAAGGAAGGAAGGAGGACGACCGCCCGGAAGCTCATAACTTAGCTCAGACTCATAATATAGAAATGAATTATTTATCATTTTGTAGATTTTGTTGAGTTCTATATTTTACTTTTTGAATCACTCAGAAACTCTAAATGTCAGCCGAGTTATAAGCTGATTTCTAGACGCCCCGGGTCACTCCTCCCCCCCCCCCCCCCCCCCCTTCCTTCACACTTGGGTCCCCCGGGGTTTTTTTTGAAGAATACAGTATCCTCCCTACACCCATCTGTCACCTTCACCATGTGTCCAGTTACATCATCATTGCTCCCTTCCCCGCCCGCTTAGATTTTTACCGCGTAGCTGAAGGTAATAATTGTTTTTACTCTCGTGGCAGCAGACAATTACTCTTTTTGGGGCTCACACCGCCGCCGCTCAGAGGTGAGACGGAAGTCAATTTGAGAAGAACAGGAAGAGCACAATCTGGCTACTGAATATGGGTAATGGATATATGGGACGTCCGGATATTGCGCCGGAAATTAAAGGTGCATTGGGGGGTTACGGTAGATTGGAATCTAAGGTTTTTGTTTTAAAATACATAAACTCAAACTTGGTAAAAATAGGATTACTGTAACTAGTTTTTTTTTTTTGGAAAATCTGTCCTCAAATTTTCAGAACAAAAAATTTAAAAATGCCGTAACTTTGTTGAAAACCGTCTAAATTGTAAGAAAATTACAGAAAGATAGGAAATTTGATTTTTATCAAGCCGGTTAAAATTTCATTAAAATTGGGTTACTGTAGCCAAAATTACAGTACCTTGAAATTTGTCAATTTTCAAAAATAAAAGGATAAAATTGAAAATGTTGCAACTTTGCTAAAAACTGTCCGAGTGGTATGAAAACTATACAGAAAGATATGAAAATTCATTTTAAACAATTTGATATAATTTCAAAAAGTTTGGGTTACTGTAGCTAAAGTTACAGTACTTCGAAATTCGGGAATTTTTGAAAACAATTCATAAAGAGTAGGAAAAGTTTTAATTGCCTTAACTTTACTAAAATCCGTCCAAATGGTATGAAAACTATACAGAAATTTAGGAAATTCAAGTTTCAACAAGTTCACATAATTTTGGGTAATTTGGATTACTGTAGCCAAAGTTACAGTACTTTGAAATTTGCGAACTTTTAAAAACAACTCAAAAATAGTAGGAAAAGTTCAAATTGTCATTACTTTGCTAAAAATTGTCTCAACTATACGATAATTGTACAGAAATATAGGAAATTTAATTTTTAGCAAGTTGACATAATTTTGGGTAATTTGGATTACAGTAGCCGGAGTTACAGCACTTTGAAGTTTGTCAATTTTCAAAAATAGGGGGATAAATTTGATATTGCCATAACTTTGTAAATAAGTGTCCAAATTGTATGAAAACTGTACAGAACGATAGGAAATTTAATTCTAAACGATTTAACAACACTTGAAAAGTTTGGAATACTGTAAGTGGTGTTACAGTAGACAAAAAAACTGGACAATTTAAAAATCTCAAAAATTTCCAAAATGCGAGATTCCGGAATCCGAAAACGCTCAAACAGTGAGAAAAGGCATTTCACAAAACTTTCAGAAGTCTCGAAAAATCTTTAAATAAGTGATTCTGAAAAATTTCCCAATTTTTAGAAAAAAGTTTCCGATTTCAAAAAATGTAAGATTTCAAAATCCAGACTATATCTTTTCAAAAATTGGTGGCTGAACTTCTTCTCTCTCCATGGCCTAGCTTTTCCTAGCCCCCCCCCCCACTTTTCCAGGACCCCCGAAAACTGTACCCCTCTCTTTCCCCCATCGACCTCTTATTTACACCCATCTCATCTACAGTAATCCTCTTTTTTTAGCGCGCGCGCGGTCCTTCTTCCGATGTTCCCTTCCCCCTAAACCAGTACACACAAAAGAATATGTTACATAACATAATTGTCTCTGTGTTTTCGGTGGTCCCCCACCGCCTAATAATCTGAGCTTATAACACATAGAGACGCCCATAATAGCCTTCTTTGGTTGTCTTGTCGGCATTTTTCGAAAATTCTGTGCTCGCGGAGCACACGCAAGCAGGCCAATTAAAGTATCACTGGAAAGAGATAGATGGTGAGAGAGAGAAAGAAAGTTTTTGATGGATGAATGGGTCCGAAGACATCGGGAGAAGAAGAAGGAGGACTACGGTAGCGTTAGAAAGAAGAAAAACAAACAGAACTAGTTAGGAGCGCCATTCATGCTTCAGTTGTGTCTCTCTCTCTCTCTCTCTCTCTCTCTCTTTTCTTGATGATTGTTTTCAAAGAATCATGATACACTAGTGTCTACAGTAGTCCCCCTCCCTAGATTTCCAAAAACAGGAAATTAGAATGCGACACTGAGGAAGTGTGTGTGGGGGGGAAGGATTATCAGTTTCGATCTGATTCTGAGTATCTCAAATTGAATTAGCATTAAACATCCTATCGATACCAAGTTGGAGCGTTTAGAATCACAAATTTTGAGCCGAGTTATGATGACTTAAAGTTGGCGGCCAAGAAATCCAGATTTTTAGGCCATTGGTAGCAAACAGCCTTAATAGCAAACACCCTTAGTAAGAAATACCCTTAATAGCTGAAATTCTTAACAGCTAAAGCCTTTAACATCACATACTCATTGATCGCCTAAACCCACAACTGCTGAAATAGCTTTAAAAAAAAGCTAACCTTGACTAACGAACGATGTTGAATTGCTTAGCTTCAGTGCTCCGGTGTAGTATGAGCTCAACATGTTGAAGTTCTGAATTTGATCATCTGATTTGGCGGGCGCGGCGAATGCGTTCATCGAAATGTTGAAGACGTCTAGAAGCAATTTTTAGAAAATAAGAGGATCCCCCTCCTTGACTTTTAGTATGTATTCCTTACCACTTTTCCTCTCACTCGACGAGCTCCCAGATCCATTGCTTCCGGCCGAGGCGGCTCCATTTCCAGTGCTATTAGACGACGTCGTCTCCGTATAGAATTGACGGCGGTTCTGTATATAAATCTATGGGTATATAGGGACCCTGTAATTATCTGGCTACCTGATCTTTTGAAGTCGAAGAGTCTGAAGTGCCGGATGTTGAGAGGTTCATACCGGTAAAGTGGTCTGCAAATGGGTACGGTAGGTTGGAAGAGTTTTTTGATCTAGAATTGATTCTAAAGTTTTAAGAATAAGCGGTTTAAATTAAGTCAGACAGGTTTCAATTAAACCCGATCATTTTTAGAAGAGTAGCTTTGGCTTTGGCGTGCCTAGAACGGCTCATAGGCGGCTCTGCGACTATCTCAGCTGTCCATTTTCCGAAATTATCAAAATTTCATGACTTCATTAATCAATATCTGGGTTATATAAAGCATTTTGAATTTTCAGCATAGTTCGAATTAGAGCCAAGTTATGCGCCTTTAAAATTAGAGACAGGCTCTCGGCTGGCGGTCGACGGGCGGCTCAACGACTAACCGAATGGAAATGTGCATATCTCAGCTAGCGGGTTCTTAATGTTTTTCAAATGTGGATATTTACTTAATCAATATCTGGGCTATATAAAAGATTTTGAATTTTCAGCATAGCTCGATATTGAGCCAAGTTATGCGCCTTTTAACTTGCTGCACCTTAGTACCGCCGAATAGCCCCAGGAAAATGACCCTATTCCTATTCCAGCTTTCAAATTTTCAAGATTCATGAAATTCGGAGATTTTGTTAATAAATATCTGACCTTCGAAAATTACTTTGAATTATTTGTTTAGCTCAAATTGAGGATCAGTTATGCGCCTTTAAAATGAGAGTTCCAGCTGGTCAGGCTACAGTAATCCTAGAAGTATGTTATAAAAATCACACGCTTGAAAAAGCTGGAGCTTAAATATTTTTTAGAATGCTCTAAGCTTGTGAAGCTCGTAAAATGAAGAGGAATGAAAAGTGAAGCAGAAGCAGCAGGCGACGTCTTCAGAATCATAGGGCGGAATCAGCAGGAAATTTGGTTACCCATCTTTTCTCCGACGGGACCCTCCCTATTTACCACAATGAAGTTTACGGGGGGAAGTTTTAGAAGATTCTAGAAGAAAAAGAAGACGTCAGGATAGGGAAAAAAGTGAATCAGTTTTTGAATTTTTTTTGTCAAAGTGTCAAGAAGAAGAGGGGAAAAAAGTGAATTGAATATATTAAGGAAAGGGAAAAGGCGGTTTTCCGAGACGGAAAATGCTAGTTTCCCGAGGAATTCTGAATCCGGGGATTCTGAATTCTGAATCTTACCATTTTCATTTTTCAGCTGTTGTGGCACCATTCCGGAATCCTGGTAGAGCATCCGGTTTGGGGGGAAATCCTGTGGCATGCCATTCTGAAAATTTTGAAATCTTAACATTTAAAAAAATAGGTAGAAATTCAAATAACCTGTAGAATAGTGATTTTAAAATCAGAAATAGACGACTTTCAGCCATGTTATGATCATTTAAAGTTTGGTGGCCTAGAACACCAGAATTTGGGTTTCTAGGCCACAAACTTGAATTGGTCATAACTTGGCTGAAAATCGATGCATTTCATTTTTGAAACAACGTAAAAATAGGATTTTTCGAGTTATATAAGATTTCTTAGAATTATCGGATTTTCAAAAATTCAGAATTTAAGATTCACAGAAAGCTGAAATCTCAAAACCATCAAACTTCAGAATCTGTGAATTCTGAATCTGAAAAATCTGGAAATCCTGGAATTCACGAATCTTAGAATATCAGAATATCATAACCTCCGAATCTCAGAATCTCAGAATCTCAGAATCTCAGAATCTCAGAATCTCAGAATCCCAGAATCTCAGAATTTCAGAATCTCAGAATCTCAGAATCTCAGAATCTCAGAATCTCAGAATCTCAGAATCTCAGAATCTCAGAATCTCAGAATCCCAGAATCTCAGAATTTCAGAATCTCAGAATCTCAGAATCTCAGAATCTCAGAATCTCAGAATCTTAGAATCTCAGAATCTTAGAATCTCAGAATCTCAGAATCTCAGAATCTCAGAATTTCAGAATCTCAGAATCTCAGAATCTCAGAATCTCAGAATCTCAGAATCTTAGAATCTCAGAATCTTAGAATCTCAGAATCTCAGAATCTCAGAATCTCAGAATCTCAGAATCTCAGAATCTCAGAATCTCAGAATCTCAGAATCTCAGAATCTCAGAATCTCAGAATCTCAGAATCTCAAAATCTCAGAATCTCAGAATCTCAGAATCTCAGAATCTCAGAATTTCAGAATCTCAGAATCTCAGAATCTCAGAATCTCAGAATCTCAGAATCTCAGAATCTCAGACACTCAGAATCTAAGAATCTCAGAATCTCAGAATCTCAGAATCTCAGAATTTCAGAATCTCAGAATCTCAGAATCTCAGAATCTCAGAATCTCAGAATCTCAGAATCTCAGAATCTCAGAATCTCAGAATCTCAGAATCTCATGATAGGAAACTAGAAATTGTTCTAGAGCCTTCTAGATCTTAGATAAAGGAGAAAAATGATTAAAACGACTCACAAAGAACGCAAAATTATACGGCGGAAGTGCCGTATTGGATTGCTGCTGCTGCTCCTGCTGCTGTTTCTGAAGCGTCGAATATTTGATCACATCCTCATCCGCTGATCTTCCGACAACGACAAGATCCGCAGAAGACGGTAGTGGTGGAGAGGAGACGACTTGCATCCTTTGCATCCGCTTCCTTTTCCTGTATCTGATTTGCTTCCCGTGTCTCCGGACGGAGCTCACCGAGATGAAAGGGGCGGAGCTTATCTGTGGGGGGAGGCGGAGGCGGAGCTCCCCTTTTTGGGGGCGACTGGTTTCTCATTGGTTGGAAGAGTTGGTAGGAGAAGAATTGAAATGATCACATGTGGGCGATACTGGTAAATAGGAATCTAAAAAATAAGAAAACTTTTTTTAATTGAAAAAATTCAAAATAAATTTTTTTTTTGATTGGAGTTTTAATAATTAGAGGAAGCAGAATAAAAACATGAACAAGTTATAATAATTGTGAGAAAGAAAAAAAATAAAAAAGGTCTGAAAGGATATCTGAAAGTTTAAAAAATTTAGGATTTTTCGGTTTCTTCAGAATCTCGGATTCTCAAGATTCCAGAATTCAAAATTTCTAAATCACTGAATTTCTGAATTTCTGAATTTCTGAATTTCTGAATTTTTGAATTTCTGAATTCCTGAATTTCTGAATTTCTGAATTTCTGAATTTCTGAATTTCTGAATTTCTGAATTTCTGAATTTCTGAATTTCTGAATTTCCGAATTTTTGAATTTTTGAATTTTGAACTTCGGGGATTTTCAAGGATTTCTGAATTTCTGAATTTCTGAATTTCTGAATTTCTGAATTTCTGAATTTCTGAATTTTTGAATTTCTGAATTTCCGAATTTTTGAATTTTTGAATTTTGAACTTCGGGGATTTTCAAGGATTTCTGAATTTCTGAATTTCTGAATTTCTGAATTTCTGAATTTCCGAATTTTTGAATTTCTGAATTTCTGAATTTCTGAATTTCTGAATTTCTGAATTTTTGAATTTTTGAATTCCTGAATTTCTGAACTTTGGGGATTTTCAAGGATTTCTGAATTTCCTAATTTTCTGACCTATCTGTTTGTCCGGGTGTCCCCAAAGTACAAAAATATGTCACCAAAGTCCACAAAAAAAATGCCACGTCACATTTCCGGTGGGTCAGCGGAAATGAGAAAATGATGGATTTTAGCACATCGTGACCCAACCCTAAATCAAGAATTATGTTATTTTTGTAGTTTCCGGGAGAAAAATGGACCAAAGGCAAACAGAATGGTAGTGGGCCGATAGAGGCCAAAAACTTGCATTACCGATTTTTAGATTCTTGAATTCAAAATTGAAAGTCACACATTTCGGTGAAATTATAGGTTTCTAGCTTCATCTTGGGCAGAGATACATCCCTTTAGAAGAGACGCAGACAACGAGACACTCTAACCATCTGCGTCTCTCCTGAACTTCAAACGACTGTATCTCGGGTTCTAGAAGCGCTGGAAAGATGGTTTTTGGATGGAATTGTATCTTGAAATTTCGATTTTCAGATTTCCAAGCTTTTTTTTGCGAAAAACATCATTTTTCAAACGTAATTTCCATTCAAAAACTTTTGAAATCATACGAAAAATCAAGTTTTGAGTGTGATTTCTGGCAAAAAATCACCTCCCTAGCTTTCCAGGAAGCCGAGATATGCTCTTTCAAAGTTTCGGGGACTAGAGGCGCAGTCAACGAGACTACTCTCGTTGTCGGCGTCTCTCACCTACCAACCTTCAAATGTCCGTATCTCGGCTCCCAGAAAAGCTAGAAAGATTAAATCTGAACAAAAAAACTGCGAATTTTAGGTGTTATCCAATGGTGTATGGGTTCGGGACATCCGGTCGCAACTAGGAAGCCGAAATCCGGAAATTGGAACTTCTGAAATTGAACTTTGGAAGTCAGAATTCAAAGTTCGAAAGTCAGATTTTGAGAGGTAAAACTCAAAAGTTAGTGCTCAAAAGTTGGAATTGCAGACATCCGGACATTGGGACACACCGATCACCCTAAACCTCTACATATCTCAAAACCTCATTTCCGGTTGACCAAATTTTTTCCTCATTTTTCTCGTATTTCCTCCTCCCCCTTCTTTCCCAAAAACAAAAATTTTTCATCACACACCTGTTGTCATTCCTCTTCTTCACCTTGCCCACTAAATGCTTATCGAAACCATTCATGTGTTCTTGAGAAGTGTCTGGGGGTGGGACACTAATTATTGTCGTGTCCCTTCTACACAACCCAATTAGGATTTAACAAAACAGATTGATTTAACAGCTGCTTTTATGAATTTGTGTTTTTTTTGGGGTTTGAAAATGTGACAGGGTTCATTCTTAATTGACAAGATTTTATGTGAAGAATTTCGAAAATGAAAAAGATTTATGTGTAAAGGATACATATATAGACAAAATGAGCAATGTTGAGCGGAAGTTGAGACAATGAATGGGGCGGCTTTTGAGCCGGAAGTGAGCCATAGTATCAGAAGAGAAGGATATAGTGGGTTATTGGAAAATAGGGTGCTTTTGAAATTATGGAATCTCGAAATGTTCGAAGAATGCTAAAAACCCTGAAAACCTCAATTGAGCCAAAAACATAGAAGACTAAAAACCAAGTATAATTCCGAAATTCTGAAAAATTCTGAAAATCCAATTTTTCGATAAAGTGTCTCTGTCGGTATGTGTTTCCAAGTGTCCAGATGTCCATTCTGGAAATCTAAAAAGCTAAAATTTGGAAAATCTAAATTTTTTGGAAATTTTCTAAAACAAAAGAACTCTTAAAATTGAATTCTAAACACTTTAAAGTTCTAAAAGTCCTGAGAATCTTTGAAAAATTCTAAAATCTGCAATTTAAAAAAGTCCCCGAATCCTCCAAACCCTACAAAATCCTTAAAATTCTTCAAAAAACGTAAAAACTTCTAATAATTTTAAGAATGCTCAGAATTCAGAAAATTCTTAAAACCCGAGAAATTCCAGAAATCCAAAAAATATCTAAAATCGAGAAACCCCAAGAAATCCAGTAAACCTGAATAATCTTGAAAATCCAATTTTTCAAAAAATTTTCCCGGTAATCTTCAAAAAGCCCCCCCCCCCTCTTACTGTTTGTTAACAACACATATACAAATACACTAACTACAGTAATCTCCCTCCGGGTATCTTCTCATCCGGCCAAAAAGGTGTGAAAACGTTTGTCAACATGTCCCATCTCATGGGCGCCGCAATGTCGCTCATCACAGCATGGGTTCTTTCCTGTCGGGAACATTTTCACAAGTAGCCAAAAGGAGTACTGTACCGCATCAAAGTATACATAACCACAGGACACTGTCAAGTTGCAAACATCCGGTAAATCTGTGTTTAGCCGCGGTTTTTTTTCTTTTGGCGGCCGATTTTTGACACCTAGGAATCTGGGATTCGAGGTTTTTTAGTGACACGGAGACCATTTTGAAGTTTCTGAGATTTTACAGATTTTCGGAAGATTCTGAGGATTTCAGGATTTTTTCAGATATCTTGGAATCAGCGAAAAACTATAAAATTTCTACCATTGGATTTTTAGAATTTCCGACTCTTCAGATTTTCTGAAGTCTCCGGTCTCGGATTTTCAGATTATTCAGGATTTTCAGATTTTCAGATTTCTCTAAATTATTCTAAACTTCCAGGAATTTTCCGATTATTTTTGGATTTTAAAATTCTCGAGTTTCAAAATTTCTTGGATTTTTTGAATTTTTGGATTTTCTGATCTTTAGAATTTCGAAACTTTACGATTTCTGACTATGAAAACTTTCAAATTTCTTGAACTTTTCCATTTTAAAGGGTGTTATTGGCATTTTCCGATTTTTTGGATTTTGGATTTTTGGATTTTCCAATTTTTGGATCTTGAATTTATTGAATTTTCCAAAATTTTTGATTTGTTGGATTTTGAAATTTTTCAAATTTTTGGGATTTTTTTTCGGATTTCATGAAATGGTGATTTTCGGAATTTTCTGAAATTTTGACATTTTCCGATTTTCTGATTTTTCTTCAGATTTTTAGAGTATTTTTTTGCATTTTTGGATTTTACAGTCACATTAATTCAAAAAAAAACTCTGAAAAATACTGTCTCCTTTAAACTTGCTTCTAGTCTTGAGCAGTTTTTTTTCGTCGGTGATCACTGAAGAAGCGCCGGAAACTACTGTAGCTTGGACCTCAATTATCTTAGTTTCTATAAAAGATAATTGAAAAATATCAACAAATGAAATTTTTCTTATAATGTGTTGAACATTTTGTTAGTTGACACATTTTTGATATCTTTTATGGGAATTGAGATAGAGAGTGCCAAAGTTTTAGTAGTGTTAAGGTGCGCCAGAGGCGCCCCAGCGCAGCTAATTCCGAATTTCCGCTGTCGGAAACAGATGACACCTCACAAAGAATCAATCGGCCATTTAACATGACTCGAAGTGACACAATAGAGACACCCCAAGTGGCATAAGGAGGGGGTTAATGAGGTCGTCGGATACAAGAAACTCAAAAAGAAGGAGGAGACGGGACACCATAAATAGAGAAAAAGGACACACATTTCTTTTCTTACCGCACTTGAGAACAAGGAAAAGCATCCCGCTAATGTATGAGCCTGGTGACAGACGGTGTGGATGAGAGAGAGAGAGAGAGAGAGAGTGTGTGAGAAATGGAGAGACGCAGAGAAGGAGCACCTCCTACCAGTTGAACAGATTGTGGTGCCGATACTAGTCTGAGTTTCGGCTTTCAAGAAGATGGAAGAGATTGAAAATTAGAGGGAGTGGAGATAATTGACGGAAAATTAGGATATGTTGTTTTGATGGGGGAAAGGTAAGAAGGTATGTGTCTATTTTGATGAGCCGGAAGGAGGATAAAGATTTGGGAGAGGACGTGGATTTGGAGATTCTGAGATTCTGAGATTCCGAGACTCTGAAATTCTGAGATTCTGAGATTCTGAGATTCTGAGATTCTGAGATTCTGAGATTCTGAGATTCTGAGATTCTGAGATTCCTAGATCCCTAGATTCCGAGATTCTGAGATTCTGAGATTCTGAGATATTCTGAGATTCTGAGATTCTGAGATTCCTAGATCCCTAGATTCCGAGATTCTGAGATTCTGAGATTCTGAGATTCCGATATTCTGAGATTCTGAGATTTTGAAATTCTGAGTTTCTGAGATTCTAAGATTCTGAGATTCTGAGATTCTGAAATTCTGAGATTTTGAGATTCTGAGATTCTGAAATTCTGAGATTCTGAGATTCTGAGATTCTGATTCTAAGATTCTGAGATTCTAAGATTCCGAGACTCTGAAATTCTGAGTTTCTGAGATTCTGAGATTCTAAGATTCTGAGATTCTGAGACTCTGAAATTCTGAGATTCTGAGATTATGAGATTTTGAGATTCTGAGATTCTGAGATTCTGAGATTCCGATATTCTGAGATTCTGAGATTCTGAGATTCTGATTCTAAGATTCTGAGATTCTAAGATTCCGAGACTCTGAAATTCTGAGTTTCTGAGATTCTGAGATTCTAAGATTCTGAGATTCTGAGACTCTGAAATTCTGAGATTCTGAGATTATGAGATTTTGAGATTCTGAGATTCTGAGATTCTGAGATTCTGAGATTCCGATATTCTGAGATTCTGAGATTCTGAGATTCTGAGATTCTGAGATTCTGAGATTCTGAGATTCTGAGATTCCTAGATCCCTAGATTCCGAGATTCTGAGATTTTGAGATTCTGAGATTCTGAGATTCTGAGATTCTGAGATTCCTAGATCCCTAGATTCCGAGATTCTGAGATTCTGAGATTCTGAGATTCCGATATTCTGAGATTCTGAGATTTTGAAATTCTGAGTTTCTGAGATTCTGAGATTCTGAGATTCTGAAATTCTGAGATTCTGAGATTCTGAGATTCTAAGATTCTGAGATTCTGAGATTCTGAGATTCTAAGATTCTGAGATTCTGAGACTCTGAAATTCTGAGATTCTGAGATTCTGAGATTCTGAGATTTTGAGATTCTGAGATTCTGAGACTCTGAGATTCTGAGATTCCGATATTCTGAGATTCTGAGATTTTGAAATTCTGAGTTTCTGAGATTCTGAGATTCGGAGGTTCTGAGATTCCGATATTCGGAGATTCTGAGATTTTGAGATTTTGAGATTCTGAGATTCTGAGATTCTAGATTCTGAGATTCTGAAATTCTGAGATTCTGAGTTCTCCAATTCTGAAATTCTGAAAATTAGAAATTCTTGAAAAATGTTGTAGTTTGTAGTCTTCATTGGGGGAAGAGAGAGAAAAATGGGCACATAATCAGAGATGAAAAGGGCAAGTATTAAAAAAAAAATACAGAAAACAAAAAAAATTGAGCGGGAATTCAAAATTCAAATTTTTTGAAAAAAAACGTGTTTCAACAAAAAAACGAGACGCTTATTAATGGTTTCAGGAGTCCTAATAATATAAATTTACTAGTTTTTTTTTGAATTTTGAAAATTGATAAAAATTAAGAAAATTACAAAATTTTTGAGATCAAATAATATTTTTTCACAATTGCAAATCTTCCAATTGTTTAAGAAGATTCAATTGAGATGAGCGTTCCGAAATGACTGGTTGAGCATCGACTTGAGCTTGAATTTCAGTTTCACGAAGTTGACGTTGCTTTGGTTGGGTCTGGAATTCACGAATTTGAATTTTTTAGGTTTCGCGGTTTTTTTTAATTCATAAGATCCAACCTTACCGCTTGAGCTTCAGAAACTGGCGAGACTGGAGTGTGGACGATTGGTGTCTTTCTGCCCAATCGCTGTCCTCGTCTTGCCTGCCCTCTGAATGGACGTCTTCCAGCCGGACGTCTTCTGGGTCTCTGGCAAGTGACGCAGAAGATTCTGACTGGTTCATTGGCAACAACATTATTTCTATAGTGAAGTGATGGCCATGCTGGGCATTGTCCGTTTCTAATAGCGAACGCTGTCGATGGGTTGAATTCGCAGTGTCCGTTCAGTGGGTTGTAGTGAGCAATCTGGAAGAAAAACTTGTTTATAAATATTCTAACAAAAAATTAGAATATTTTAGTGCAGGAACCGACTTTCTAGCTCATCGAGGAGCCGAGCTATAGCGATTTGAAGTTTGGCAAGAGACGCAGACAACAAGACTCTCTAACCATCTGCGTCTCTTCTAAATTCAAATTCGCTGTATAACAAGTTTTAAATGAGCTAGAAAATTAGAAATTGAGTGAAAATGTAGAAAATCAAAAATGCAATAATTCTAAACAAAAACCAACTTTCCAGCTCATCTAGAACCCGAGATACAATCATCAGAAGTGCCGAGAGAGACGCAGACAACGAGACACTCTAACCGTCTGTGTCTCTCCTGAACTTCTAACGCCTGTATCTCGGGTTGTAAAAATGCTGGAAACTTGGTTTTTGGACAAAAGTGGAAATCGAAGCATTTTCATATGATTTGAAAAGTTTTTTAAATTAAATTTTTTTTTAGAAAAAATGAGTTAACAGGAAAAATTAAATTTCTGAAGTTCTGAAACTTCAATTTCGATGAAAATTCAAAAAGGCATTGAAAATCTAAAAATTCAAATGTCGAGCTAAATTTCTGTCTAAAAACCAACTTTCTAGCTCATCTAGAACTCGAGATACAGTCATTTAAATTTTGAGCGAGAGACAACGAGACACTCTAACTGTCTGCGTCTCTCGTCAGCGTTGAGCTGCTGTATCTATGCTCTCATGTAAGCTAGAAACATGATTTTTTAGATTCTTGCCAAAAATAAGTTGTCAACTACGAAAAGTAAACTCAACTCTCCCCAAAAATATTTTCAACAACTTACAGCACAATTGAACTCGTGACAAGTTCTAGCGCACTGATCAACGGTAACAGCGACGGCGAAATGAGTGAAGGTGAGTCTCGATGGTCCACTGATTGGTGTGGAGATGTAGAAAATGGACGCTGGACACTGTCCAGAGCGAAGGTTCTGTCCAGATTGTGGTGGGAATCGAGGCGCCGGTGTGGTTGGTGCTGGTGGTGGCTGTGGTGGGCGTCTGGAAAATTTTAAGGTTAATTATCTCGGTTGCTATCAGAGATATCAAAATCTTGTTAAGTGATAAAATGTTTGTCATGGTATCACCAACATTTTTGAAGTTTACAGAATCTTAAAATCTTTTATGGGAACCGAAATAAACAGGGTCAATTAGGGTGACCCTGACTATCCCAGAACATGTAGAAGTCCTTAAAAATGTCCAAATAAAAGTACATCGGGACGAACAGACAAACAGACAGAAACTCACGTGGCAAACGTTGGCTGTGGTCGGAATGGTGGCTGTGTGAATGGAGCTGGGGTGAACACTGGTTGTGGTCTTGGCTGGAAGGTTTGTGGCTGTGGACGGAATGGTTGTGGTTGGAATGGTTGAATTGGACGGATTGGTTGTGGTTGTTGTGGAGCGATGACACGTGGCGGAGCAGTTGGTGCTGGTGGACGGACAAAGGATGGAGCGATGGTGGCGACGGTTTGAGGGATGAATGGTTGTTGGACTGGTGGTGGGCGGGTACTGAAATATGGTTTATAAGATTTAAATTGGAAATTCAGTATTATTGTTCAAAAAGTCAGGTTGCTAGGCGATCTAGGAGTTGAGATACAGCCATTCAAAGTTTGGTAGGTGAGAGACGCAGACAGCTAGTTTTCAAATGTCGAGCTACAATTCTGTCCCGAAATCAGTTTTCTAGGCAAACTAGGAGCCGAAATACAGCCATTTGAAGTTGGAGCAAGAGAAGCAGACAGTTAGAGTTTCTCGTTGTCTGCGTCTCTCCTAAACGGTGTATCCTAATCCCCAGATAGGCTCGAAGGATCGTTCTTTTTGAGAAAAAAAGACAAACTTACGAAACAGGTGCTGGTGGAAGAGTGGCAAAGGTGGCTGGGGTGGTCTGCACGAATGGGATGGTTCTGATTGTGGTGGCTGGTGGTCTGCAAGAAATTTAAACATTTTAAAAATAGGATTTTTATACACAAATTGGTCCAAAAACCAATTTTCTAGCGTCTCTAGAAACCGAGATGCAGCCGCTCGAAGAGACGCAGATAGTTAGAGTGTCTCGTTGTCTGCGTCTCTTCCAATTTTGAGGAGCGATATTTCGGCTTCTAGGTGAGCTAGAAACTCGATTCTTTTTTGAATTGTAGCTGAGATTCTAGGCTTTCTTTTGAAATTTAATTCAACCTATTGACACTTTTATGAGTCAAACTAGAAAGCTTCAAATTTTCAGGAATTCTCTGAATTCTAAATGAGCATATCTCGGGTTTCAGATGAGCTAGAAATCTCATTCATATTTTGATATACTTCTTTTTTCCTTTTTTTTTCATTTTTTTTCAGTTTTTGGAACTAAAAACAGAATAGGATTCGGTTCAACCCCCACCTGGTAGTTCTTGGCGTCGTCGTTTGCGCTTGGGTAGTCTTCTTTGGCTCCTTCTTATCACCTCCTGGACGGTATGGTTTTGGAACGAAAAGAAGCTTCTCGTTATCAGCAGATACTACATTGTTATCATCATAAGCTCCGAATGGGTCCTGGACATTTGGTGTATTGTCTGGTGCAACCTCGATTTGTCCTCCATCGACCTCGTTGAACAGCTCCCGACGGACTCCGTCGATTGTTCCGACGTCTGGAAGGGGTAAGAGGGAATTTCACGATATCAAGCATATGGATCCAAGTTTAAGATAAACGAATTTCAAACATTTTGCTAGTTGACAACATTTTCATAGTTGTTAGGGATCTAATTTCTTATTTCACTTGTATCACTAGAACCCTCAGTGCTATCAAAAAGTTTCCGACTACAAAAATGGAGATTATAAAATTTCATACATTTTGTTAGTTGACCACTTTTAGATAGCTACAAAGATAACAGAGATACAGGCGCTGGACAGAAGGGGGTGTGAGAAATGTTAACTTTTCNATTTTCTAGTTTTAGTTAGTTTTTTTTCAAATTGATGATTCGAAGTTGCCAGTTCCCAAGTAGTCAGTTTTCAATTAACCCAAATTTCAAGTTTCTCGTTTTGTAATTTCAATTTCCAACCAAAAAGCCTTTCCCATCCGGTTTTTTTTCAATCAAAAAATTCAATTACTCTCCAATTTTGACTTAAAATAGAAAACTATCCAAAAAAGTAATTAGCTAGTGTCCTCAAAGTTGATTTGAAATTTTTGAATTACAGAAAATTGAAAAAAAAACTGCTTCATTTTGTCATAACTGTCTTAAAGGAAAATGAATCACTGTTTCAGAATGTTTTAGTCAATAAAACGAGAAACTGACAGAAAAGTCGTCATGGGAAACCAACCCTTAATGTGCACCAACATGGCGTGTTAAGGAGGTCCCTCAAACCATCAACTTTGAGCCTATTTA